GGCGGCAGCAAAGCAGAGCACCGAGAGGGACGAGATAACTGATGCTGCCCCCGCCGCCCCATTCCGGACCTCTGAACTGGATGGTGAGCGCAGACTTGCCCACTCTGCCCACTCCCACCACCACCAGCCAGTACTTTTCCTGCCCCGGGCCGTCCCTACAGCCCGTGGCCATCGAGGAAGAGCCCAGGCCAAGAGAGGCAAACTGGAAGGTGCAAATGCGCTCCTGCACCTTCCAGTCATCTCCATTGCCACTTCAGCCCGCCTGTGCCGCCAGCTCCCTCTTGCTGCAACAGCGCCATTACTTTGTCCTGCCCAGTGAGGACTGTGCTGCTTTTTGCAGGTTTGCGCTCGGCCGAAGGGTGGGAGCCAGCGGGTGGGCGGGCTTTGGGGGGTGCTTTGGGGTGCATTTCTCTGCAGCCCACCAAAATTTTCTCACGGCCCACCGGTTGGCAACCACTGATCTGGAGAACAATAACAAAAGGAAGGGTAGTAGCATTGAAAGGTAAAGAAAACACATATAACTAAAGTTGAAGTGACACAGTTTATAGTGTATGTATAGGATAAAAAATGGATTCTAAACTGAAGGAGTGAAGAAGAAAGGAAGGATTGTAGTGCAAATGGGAAGAGGTTAGATTTGAAGTGTCAACAACCTATGAATGATCCAAGGCTAATTTCTGGCTCTTTTAATAGTCACATTGCATTGTTGGTCTTCACAAAGTGCCCTTAATGAACGTGCTGGCTGAAAATCAGGAGAAGCAGTGACAACTTTGCTGAGTTTAGCTGTGTTGCTTATCCACATTCATTACAAGTAATCCCTGGGTTACAAGTGTTCCCTTAGTGAACATTCGAAGTTACGTGATAAGTGCCCCCTGGTGTTTACAAACAAGTCCCAAAGCTACAAATGTTGCTGCACCATGGCAGTTGTTTGCCCTTACGAACTACCACAGAGGCTTTGCAACATTCGCCCTACCTCCAGATTGGGAGGGGGGAGCATGAGGTATTTCAGTGGGTCAGGGAGGCCTTGGGTGGTCTTAAGCAGGTGGTCTGTTCCATCCCTAGCCCCCCCCCCCCCCCGGCCTTCCCCCCCTTGAAATACCTCGTGCACTTAACAAACCGCGCATTTGATTAGTGAATGCATTGGTGGAAAGCAGAGTGATCTCGTTCAACGTACGAGATTCAGTCCCACAAATCCTCAGGTTATGAATGGAATGGGCAGGCTCCATTCCATTCGTAACTCGAGGACTACTTGTAGTTTTCCTCTTGTAGATAGGTCACTGTGCAACAAGGATTCTGGTTGGTGCATTGACTTAATCACGATTTATTTTAATTTTTTAATATTTTTTATTATGCAATTTCCTTTGTTATATATAAAATTTCCATATCCACAATGGCAGTGTACTGTCTGGGTACAATCTCTTTTAAATACAAATAACAAACCTTATACACACATTATAACTCTTATTCACTCAAGCTATTCACCATAATCTTCAGTTATCCTTGTTAAACAGTTTCCATTATTTAATTAAACACTCTGTTCAGTTTTATCATATAGTTAATATCAGACCTTATAAACATCACATTTATCACCATTATCCTCGAAATCTAATAATACTTTCTTATCCTATTTATTCAACATTCATTATTTAGTTACACACTTACTTCATTTTTATTTACATATCCTCCTTAATTTTAATTTTCTAACTTCTGCTATGTTCTAACCATTGGTAAAATAGTTCCCAAGTTAAAAAGTGTTCTGTGTCCTCCTTATCCTTGATCTTCAAAGTTAATCTATCCATTTTGGCACATTCTGATATTTTATTACATTTTCCTCTGTAGGTATATTTTGATTTTCCAATTTTGTGCATACACAATTCTCACTGCTGTTATCACATGTAAAATTAAATATGTAATTCTTTTGTTATATTTTTCCAGTAGAATACCTAACAGAAATAATTCTGGTTTTAAGTCTATTTGTTGTTTTGTCATTCCTTCTAGCCACTGTTTTATTTTTGCCCAACATTTTTTTGCCATAGGGCAAGTCCACCACATATGATAATAAGAACCTGGTATCTGTTTGCATTTCCAACATTTGGGAGATACATTTTGAAACATCTTTGCCATCCTTGCTGGTGGCAAATGCCACCTGTAAAACATTTTATATAAATTTACTTTATAAGAAAATAACATTTCTTAATCAGTCAATTTGTAAATGTCAGTTGCAACTAGGTGGCTGCTAATTTCATTGGCATGATAGAATTTTCATTGTTTGCTAGTTAATGGAGAGGCATAGATGTCAAAGGAACAATTTGGTTTTTTTGTGTGTGTCTGGTTTGTTTCACCACCACCTATGGCTGCTTTGTTTTAGGTCCATCTAGAATGTCTCCGAAGTCTCAACAACCCAGTCGAGGAGCCAAGAACATGTCTTCCCCAACCAACCGACCCATGGAAGTCTCTGCTGCATCTCCTACAGGTAGAAGAAAGAATAAGCAGCAAATCTGATGTCTTTTTTTGTGAGAGCCTTGATTAAAAAAAATCTTCACATATCAGCCCTAATCTAATGCATCTTTGCTGTTACTTTACTGTATAGTGGGCCGTCTCTATGCTTCTCGTTCACCGAAGACTGCCTCAACTGTTCTACTCTCTTCCCAAGATCCCCCTGTGGGACCAACTATCCCTATTGTTCCTGCATCACCGTCTGAGTCAAGGACTACCAAGGAATCAAGTGCTTCCCCATCTTCACCTAAAGTCCCAACATCTATCCCAGTAACTGCTGCTGAAGGTAAGTACTTAAGCTGGGAGTTAAGCAGGTTTTGTTGATTGCCAATCAACAAAGAAGGAACTAAGAATGGACCTAAAACAAAGCAACCTTATAGGTATTAGCTGGCCAGAGAATCCCAGATGTACTGCACAAAACCTCAAAAATGTTGAGGACTTTGTTTAGATTTTTGAAACTTGCTGCCCGGAAAGATTGCTGACTTGTAAACTTCTCTCTGTTTTTTTTCCTTCCCTTTTGTTTTACCCTAGTAAGAAGAATATTTTAGATTTTACAGTTTTTAAATACTTGATAGGTTTGATCACTTAAAAATGTTTTAAGATAGTAAACAAATTCTTGTCTGTCTGAAGAAGGAGTAGGGGATTTGAATAAATGGTGAGGTTCTTTGGGAAGTTGCCATACTTTCCAGGTGCATTTCAAGCTTTTGTTCCTCTTTCCTTGCCAGGTATCTGGATGTAAAATATAGCATATGTTTTGCCTCTTAACCTTTTCCTTCCTCTTCTTGTTAAAGAGGTGCCTAGCTCTGCCACCAGAGAAGATGGAAGGACCTCAGACTTGGTCAAACAGACTAGCAAAGGTTTGTTTCTTTTGACTGAGTTTTTTGCTTGTTACTTTACATGTCAGATTGGAGTTGCTTTGCATATTTTATATGAACATTTGAACATTGCTGTTCTTTAAAATTGTGAGCCAAGTCAGGCAGAGTCTATACACAAGGAGACAAATTCCTTGTGTGTACAATCACAATTGGCCAGTAAATAATTATATTCTAAATGTAATGAACTAAATAGTTAATTAACAAACTCAGAACTCACTGGATGACTTTGAGCCAGCTTCTTCATCTCAGTATAATTTATAGGATTGTTCTGGGGATAAATGAAGGAAGACTTGATTACAAACCCCCCATCACCTTGTTCATTCAGAAAAGTGGAATATAAATACAAAATTGAATAATCACTGCTAAGTAAAAAAACACTTACCAGGTGCATATAATTTAGTTGGCCAACAAACCAATGCCATCTGGATTTATAGGAGTACAGCTCCCATAATCCTTAGCCAATTACTCCCATTTAATGTTAGAGAGTACCAGGTTTGAGAAAACTTAACAGAACTTGGAGATTGATAATAAAATGCTCTTCAAGGTTTTGAGTTCTCAACTCTTCAATTGTGGCAATTGCACTGCTCTAGGTCTCCAAAATGAGCAGAAGAGAAATCAGCTTGAGGAGTTGAGGAAGTTTGGAGCCCAGTTTAAGGTGAGCACAATCTCTTATTCCCCTTTGTTTAAAAAGGAGGAAAACATTGAGCACTTTTAAAATAGAAACATAAAATACAAGCAGTTTTTCTGACCACAGTTGCTTACCTCATGTCTCTTCCTAGTTACAGCCCAGCTCTTCTCCAGAGGCCACCCATGACCCCTTCCAGCCAAAGGAGTCTCTTGAAGGGAAAGGAAAAGACAAACTGCCAGAGGTGTTGGTTGGGGTAGGCAGCTCGTGTGAAGTGTCTGAAGAGTCTCCCAAGCCCAGCCTGGATTTCTGTGAAGACAGCAGCAAGGAGGAGAAAGGATCCTCTGAGGGCATGGAATGCCAGACCCAGACAGCCAGTCCTCTGGGTAAAGGGGAAGCAGAGGACAAGGAAAATGGTCCTGTCTCAGAGTGAGTCTGGGGGGAACCAGAGTACAGTCCTTGACTTATGACCTCAATTGAGCCTGAAATTTCTGTTAAGTGAAACATTTAAGTGAGTTTTGCTCCTTTTACCACCTTTCTTGCCCCAGTTGTTAAACAAATCAATGTAGTTGTTAGTAACACTGTTGTTAAGTGAATCTGTTTTCCCCATGGACTTTGCTTGTCAGAAGGTCGCAAAAGGTGATCACATGACCCCAGACACTGCAATCATCATATGAGTCAGTTGCCAAGTGTGAATTTTAGTCACGTGACCATGAGGAAGCTGCAACAGTTGTAAGTGTGAAAGACTCATAAGTCACTTTTTTCAGTGCCGTTGTAACTTTGAAAGGTCACTAAATGAACTATTGTAAGTCGAGGACTACCTCTAGATAAGACTGCTGCATGTTTGTCTGTGTTCCTGTCTCATTTCCATTGTACTCCCACCCAGGCAGGTGAAGAAATCAACATTGAATCCTAATGCAAAAGAATTCAACCCCTTAAAGACGCTTCTTTCTGTGGTGCGTAACTAGCTCTGGGGCTAGTGTGGGTTCACAGGGTGGGTTTTTTTGATAACAGCACGTTCAGTTATCTCTTAACTTGCTTTCATACTCAAATATCTAATAACTGCTGCCTTTCCCCCAGAACAAATCAACAAGTACGCCTACATCACCGGGGCCACGCACCCATTCTACACCCTCCATCTCAGTGATTACCCCAGGGCAAAGTGGCATGTACAGCACACAATATATTTCTTACATCCCACAGATTCACATGAGCCCAACTGTGCAGGTGAGGTGTGAAGAATGATACCTGAATGGACCTATCTTTGCACTGCAAATTATTGGTTCTTTACAAAGCATATCAGGCATAGTAGTAAGGATACAGTTAGAATTAATTAGTTTGCTGCTATTTTCTGCAGGCACCTCAGATGTACCCCTACCCTGTTTCCAATTCTGTGCCTGGACAGCAGGGGAAATACCGAGCTAAAGGTGAGATTCTTGGCCAGAGGCTAGTTGATCATGGAAAATTTGCCTGGAATGCTCAACTGTTCTGCCACTTGGAGAAAAAACAAGAGTATAAATGGCTTTTCTTCACCCATTTCTTTTTCCTGAATAGGGTCTCTACCTCCCCAGCGTTCAGACCAGCACCAGCCCAACTCAGCTCCTCCCATTATGCAAGCAGCAGCAGCTGCAGGGCCCCCTCTGGTAGCTGCTACTCCATACTCTTCATACATCTACAATCCCCAGCAGTTCACAGGACAGCCTGCTATGATGCAGCCCATGGCCCACTATTCCTCGCAGGTGGATACAATAAATGTTCAAGGGAAAACAGATACATGTGTTTTTCTGTTTTGCTCATATATTCTATCTATTTCCTTCCCTATAGCCTGTGTTTGCCCCCATGCTGCAGAATAACCCCCGTATGATGACATCTGGCAGTCACCCCCAAGCTATTGTCTCATCATCTACTCCACAGTATCCTCCAGCAGAACAACCTACGCCCCAAACTCTTTATGGTACCTTTATTTTTAGCTGAAGTCTGAGCTTTCTTTCTCCTGCCATGTTGCCTTGTTGACTGCTACTTGCTGCTTCTCTCCCTAGCCACAGTGCATCAGTCGTATTCTCATCATGCCACACAGCTGCATCCACATCAGCCTCAACCAGCTACCACACCCACGGGCAACCAGCAGCAAACACAACATGCTGCCCCCAGCCCTGTGCAGGTACTTGGAGGGAGGGGGAGGAACCAAGTATGGGGTTACTGCATAGGAGACACTTAATGCTTGTCTTGGCACTCAACACCTTGCTATTTGATTTTATGTTTGAAGTTGGTCCTAGAGCACCATGATCCTTGAAGCTCTAGAAATTCTAGGTGGCATGAAAAGGAATATTGCTTTTAAAGTGATGTTCTATCGGTTCCTGAAACTGCTGTTACAGAATTGAAGCACCAGGGACAAACTTATTAATCCTTGCATGCTTTATTTGAGGGGGAAGGCAGTCTAGGAATTAAACAAGATGCTGCTTTGCAACTACTTTTGATTTGGGTATTAATAAAAGTCAAATTGGGGGGGGGGGGGGGTATTTTCTGCAATGGAAATGCAGAACTGAGGACAGGTGGGTGGTTGGAACCTACCCACCATAACTGACGTAGCTTTTTTAGTATGATCTCTAAATAAATGTACTTTCTCTGGGAACTTATGTTCATAATGTGAATAATTTAAATCTATGACAACATGATCAACGAGTTGGGGTTATGTTATATAGAGATCAGAGAACCAGAAGGCTAATTTAATAAAAATAATGTAATGCCATTAAAACAAATTTAATAAAATGAGTCATTCCCCATCCTTCCCACAGATAAATGTACGCTAACCTGAGTTTCAAATCTTGCTTTTCTCTATAAAATACCAAATGTGTTCTTTAGCAATAATATAAAAAGAAAAAATGCAAACTAGTAGTTGAAGTGTGACTCTTGTGCTTTCTACTATAGCACCAAGCTGGACAGTCCCCTCATTTGGCCAGTGCTCAGCAGCAGAACCTGTACCACACAGCTACACTGACAGCTACGCCACCATCCATAACCCCGGGGCCCAGCGCTCAGTCTCCACAGAGCGGTTTCCCACAGCCAGCAGTTTATGCCATTCATGCCCATCAGCAGCTGCAGCACGGATACACCAACATGGCCCATGTCACTCAGGTGAGTATGCCTGACTTGGGAAGGGAAAAGGGGTAGCGGTCTTGACCATGGAAGACATTACAGAGTGTCTGTCCTCATAAATACTCAAGAGTGGTGTTTGACAATCCAGGAGATGGATAATGACCAGTAACATTTTTTGTGGCAATTGATGTAAGAGAAAAATGTCAGGGTAATGATTTTGTCTACTAGGATTTCTTGGACAAACATTTAAATTCTCAACAGACTACTACATAAGTTTGAGCAAAGATTGTGTCAGTATTAGTACCAAGAACAGCAATTGTTTCATGAATTATTTGTTATTTAATAATAATTTATTATTCGTCTTTGAACAATACTTGGAATTAGGTTAAGCGTCTCATTTAAATTTCAGTGGCATGAGTTACATCAGTTGCTTAATATATGTTCTTAAATTAGAAAAATTGGCATTTTCTCTGCTAGCCTAGTTGATAAATTGGTGTATCATTTATTAAAATCCTCAAAACTATTTTTGTCTACTACAGGCCCATGTCCAGACTGGAATTGCAGCTGCCCCACCACCTCACCCTGGAGCTCCCCAAGTCATGTTACTGCATCCCTCACAGACTCATGGTGGACCCCCTCAAGGTGTGCCCCAGAGTGGTGTGCCCACCCTTTCCGCCTCCACACCATCCCCCTACACATACATAGGGCACCACCAAGGTAAGCCTGTTATTTAAAGCCAGGGGTGGGGAGGTGGTAGATTAATAGGAAAGATGAGCCCTCTGATGTACCAAACTGACATCCCCATCTAGCATGTCCATATGGGTGGAAATTAAAGTTTTTATAGTCAGCATTTCTGATCAGGATAAATTAGTTACTCTGAAGAATTGATTGAGCGTGATGGCAATTGGGCAGGGCTTGCCCTGCAAATAACAGATAATGTTTCGGATTTTGGTGTGCCTGTGTGGTCCTCACTGCCTCTTTCTTCTTTTTCCAGTTCAGTCTCATCCCTCCCAGCAGCTTCCATTCCACACCCCTGGGAATTGATGTCCATGCTTCTCCCTGTGACCTGAGACCCCAGCCAGCTATGGCTGTTGCTGAACCCCCCAAGCCTGGGCCATCCCTTGTGCCCCTGAAGGGATGCAGTCTGGCCCAGCCCCTCTTGGCAAGCACCTTCCTTTCAGTTGGTTTAGTGAAGCCTGCCCAGGGTATTGTTGACCAGTGGGATGGAGCAAGACCCCTTTCCATTGCTCAGAGGAGGGCAGGGTTTAATTTCTGTTATTTATAACTCCATTGGGGTTCCTAGAGCAAATGCCACTTTCCCACATTAACTTGACAAGGACATGACCATATGGACAAATCTTGACTTTTTATTAAGTTAAAATATTTAAAAAGTTAAAATAAAAATTTAAACTAACTAATGTTGGGCTTGGGGTTGAATGTGTGGGAGGGCCAGTTTGTAAGCAACAATCCTTAATTGTGGTTCTGCAGCATCAGAGGAAAACTTTGTGACCTGTTCAGCATACATAGCTCAACCAGACTTGAAGAACTGTTTTGGAATTCAGTGTTGTCTAGCAGCATAATTTTCCTCTCTGAAAATAGATCACCAAGGATTAGTAGTTTGAGTGACAGTGAAACAGATCCTAAAGCAGTACTTTTTAGTGCTGGGGTTATCCTGTGAATGCAGTTACACACCAAATTAAAATTTTAATTGATGCTTTTATTGGAATCAATAACAAATTAAATTTAAGGACTTTGGGGATTCAATTTGGCCTCTGCAGGAGTCTTAGTTACATTTTTTTTTCAGTTACAAAAAGGGAAAACAAGGATGATGGTGTGATTGAGATGTTAAATCTATTTCTAGAGACCATTTTGAATCACTTAAAAGTCCTGGTTTTATGCCTCAGCTAGTCACCATCAGAATTATTTTAAAACAAGCACAGGTTAAGTTGAGTGTTGTGGACCATGAGCTTTTTGCTGCTCTTCAATGAAATTCAGTTTTCATTTGTCAACCTGCTTACAGTGTCTTACTTTGATCCTGGCTAGTCAATCTGAGGTATAAGGGATCTGGCATTGTATATAGGAACCTTACTGCTGTAATCTGAACCAACAGTTGTGAATTGGTGAGTAAAGGAAAAGTCCTTTTTTTTTAAAACGGAAAAAACATTAAGTATAGAAGAAAACAAACTTTAGAATTAAGGATATTAATCCCTTCTCAAATATCATAATTCTGGTCATAATTGTGAAACAGGTTGACAATGCTTAATCAGGCTAAAAACTTGTACATTAAATTAGTTGCAAAAATAAGGCTGTGTATGGTTGATAGTATTTAACATCACCTTTTAAAAATATATTTGTCAATGCATAGTTAAAATACTGCTGGGAAACAGATAAAAAGTGATGAGTTTCACTCCTTCCAATGAGCACTTTCCAAATCATATTTCTCCTTTCCAATCAAACCAACAGAAATCCCATCCACTTTTTCATGCAGATATTTTTTATGTTTTCAATACCTTGACTTTGTGATTTCATGTTTCCTTTCACCTATGTATGGCAGCACAAAAATGTAACAAATGTGCTTCTGTGGGGTTCTTGGTGCTCCAAAGTTGCATGATCTGAAATGTCTGCAAGCAACAAAGTCCAGAGCACCAAGCAGCTCACAGTTCAACCCCAAACTACATATATTCTATTGGAATGTGCTGCTTTTGCATGCTGCTTATCTAATGGATTAAGGTTGCATAAGCAGAGTTATGTGCTTGTGGTGCAGATGTTTTGGAGCTTCAGCACACCTGCATTGAGCTAGGGATGATTCTGGAGGAGAAGAAAAAAAAACTTGTGCTCACTTTTTAATTATTTTTATTTAAACAACTTTCACCCTTGCCCCCACCCCTTAGTGGAACCCTCCTCTTTGAGCCAAGACTGCCACTTTCATCTACTGTGCAGACCTGGATGCAGTGTCATCAGTTTTCTAGGAAGTATTCATAACCAATTCCAGCTGCTGCAAGTTAATTATCCCAGCAATCCTCCTCTGGAGCTAGTGGAACTATCTTTGTGACTATTCCAGTGCCCATGGTTTGAGATCCATCCCTCAGAGTGAACCACTGTCCTTGTTCCAAGACCATAGGGTACTGCTGTATGAGCTTAAGGCAGACATTCTTACCTGGCATCACCATTTCCTACAGCAAAGAAGAGGAAAGGTATGAATAGATGGCAATCTACACGTAGACCTCCACAATTGCAAGAAATGTAGCACTCTAGAAATATTGAGATAACACCTGTTATAAACCTCACTACTCAACAGTGATCAAGCACAAGAAATTAGTGGGAAAAAAGCAATAAAAACCTTTCCCTCAGGTAATTCTATGTGACAAGTCACATTCCAGGTCAGCAGGAACATAATTGGCATGAACTTAAGACACAAAAAATGCTTGACAGCCACCTTCCTCTGGTCAGGATATCTATTTACAGGTGAAACTCAAAAAATTAGAATATAGTGCAAAAGTTAATTTATTTCAGTAATGCAACTTAAAAGGTGAAACTAATATGAGATAGACTCATTACATACAAAGCAAGATAGTTCAAGCCATGATGTGGCATAATTGTGATGATTATGGCTTACAGCTCATGAAAACCCCAAATCCACAATCTCAGAAAATTAGAATATTGTGAAAAGGTTCAATATGCTAGGCTCAGAGTGTCCCACCCTAATCAGCTAATGAAGCCATAACACCTGCAAAGGGTTCCTGAGCCTTTAAATGATCTGTCAGGTTCAGTAGGAATCACAATCACTGAAAAGACTGCTGATCTGACAGTTGTGCAGAAAACCATCATTGACACCCTCCATAAGGAGGGAAAGCCTCAGAAGGTAATTGCAAAAGAAGTTGGATGTTCCCAAAGTGCTGTATCAAAGCACATTAATAGAAAGTTATGTGGAAGGGAAAAGTGTGGAAGAAAAAGGTGCACAAGCAGCAGGGATGGCCACAGCCTGGAGAAGATTGTTAGGAAAAGGCCATTCAAAAGTGTTGGGGACTTTCACAAGGAGTAGACTGAGGCTGGAGTCAGTGCATGAAGAGCCACCACACACAGATGGATCCTGGACATGGGCTTCAAACGTTGTATTCCTCTTGTCAAGCCGCTCCTGAACAACAAACATCAGAAGTGTCTTACCTGGACAAAAGAAAAACAGAACTGGTCTGTTGCTCAGTGGTCCAAAGTCCTCTTCTGATGAGAGCAACTTTTGCATCTCATTTGGAAACCAAGGACCCAGAGTCTGGAGGAAGAATGGAGAGGCACACACTGCAAGATGCTTGAAGTCCAGTGTGAAGTTTCCAGAGTCTGTGTTGATGTCATCTGCTGGTGTTGGTCCACTGTGCTTCATTAAGTCCAGGGTCAATGCAGCCGTCTACCAGGAGATTTTGGAGCACTTCATGCTTCCTTCAGCAGACGAGCTTTATGGGGATGCTGACTTCATTTTCCAGCAGGACTTGGCACCTGCCCACACTGCCAAAAGCACCAAACCCTGGTTCAATGACTGTGGGATTACTGTGCTTGATTGGCCAGCAAACTCGCCTGACCTGAACCCCATAGAGAATCTATGGGGCATTGCCAAGAGAAAGATGAGAGACATGAGACTGAACAATGCAGAAGAGCTGAAGGCCGCTATAGAAGCATCCTGGTCTTCCATAACACCTCAGCAGTGCCACAGGCTGAAAGCTTCCATGCCACGCCGCATTGAGGCAGTAATTACTGCAAAAGTGGCCCAAACAAGTACTGAGTACATATGCATGCTTATACTTTTCAGAGGTCCGATATTGTTCTATGTACAATCCTTGTTTTATTGATTGCATGTAATATTCTAATTTTCCGAGATTGTGGATTTGGGGTTTTCATGAGCTATAAGCCATAATTATCACAATTATGACAAATCACGGCTTGAATTATCTTGCTTTGCATGTAATGAGTCTATCACATATATTAGGTTCACCTTTTAAGTTGCATTACTGAAATAAACTTTTGCGCTATATTCTAATTTTTTGTTTCACCTATATATAAAAGCAAAAAAGCACTCGTGCGTCATCACAAAATATCCAGAACCATAAAGCCTACAAACTTGAAATTTGGCACGTATGTTCCTCTTGGCTTCTAGGCACTTGCTAACAAAGGATTTTTCGAAATGACCATCAGAGCATTAGTATACTTCCTATATTATTATTAACATGCTCTGATGCTAAGGAGTTCTACTCCCCCTCCCCACCTGAAAAGAAATCTCTTCCAAATGCAAAACACAAGCAGAGGAGTTTCAGTTTTACTTTCACAGCAGCAAACAGCTATACTACAGAACAGTTGAGCTGAGGCACGCCCAGGCTCCTTGCTGTCTCCTTGCTCACACAGCAAATACTGTTTCAGTTTCCAAAAAGCCCTCAACTCTCTCACACACTGACAGGATGCTAGCCAGATGAATACCGATGGATGCTGGTAGTCAGAGGCACAATTTTCCCCTTATTTTCCTTCCCAAAAACTTGTCCGATCACAGTTTTGTAGCAAAGCATGGGTACCCTGCTAGTAAACCTATAAAAGCAATTTATTTTTCTTGTCTCAACTTTACAGGGTAGGAGAGCAGGTGGGGGGTACTAGCCTAGCCATTCCTTAGTAACGTTAATGTGCTCCAGAGTTTTATGGACTGCTCTATTTCCCAGTCCTCTACACAATGTGAAACACCATCCTAATATTCTGCCTTCCTACATACATTTCCCTCATTCACCTGAGCATCAACCTTCTGATGTGGCTGGATGGAGCCAGACTTACACATTACTAATTCCCATCATGCATCTTCTCGCTTCAGACAGGATCAAAGTGCCCAAATTGTCTCCAGCCTGTGCCTGATCCAACTGTTTGTGGAACATCTCAACACCTGAAGCCAATTACACACACCTGCAAATTTTGTGCAGCCTCCCCAGTTCCACAAAACTACAGGTAGTCCTTGACTTACAACAGTTCACTTAGTGACCAGTTACAATGGCACTGAAAAAAATTACTTATGACTTTTTTTCACACTTAATGGCCATTGCAGCTTCTCCATTATCACATGATTTATATTTGGATGCTTGACAACTGACATTTATGACAGTTGCAGCATTCTGGGGTCACATGATCCCCTTTTGCAACCTTCCAACAAGCAAAGTCAATGGGGAAACCCAGATTCACTTAACTAATTTAACAGCAGTGATTCACTTAACAAATGTGGCAAGTTGAAAAATGTGGCAAAACTCACTTAACAAACTTCTCAGCAACATAAATGTTGGGCTCCATTGTGGTAAGCAGAGGATTACCTGTGTCAAGGATTGCCTGTGTTGACCCCACTCACCCACACGTCAGGGTTGGTGTAGAGAGCTTTATTTAGTCTGTTCCCACAACAGTTCCATTTCAGGTTTTCAGTAAACCCCCAGCTGCAAGCTTAGCACAGTAATTGGCTCACTACCAAGTAGATAACCAAAAGCAAAACAATTTACAGCCAAACCACAGTCTTAGAAATAAAGTTTTGCCTGGGTAGGTTCCAAAAATAAACAGCCCAAATCTCCTCCCGAGGTCCGGGACCTCCAGTGAGGTTTGTCAACAAGTCCGGTTTCAGGGCTTGCAAGGAGAAGTCGCGGGAATTGTCCGAGCCAGAAAACCAGGGGGTCATTTTCAGCGAAGCCAGCCACGAACACACTCCAGACTAACCTTCCAGGCAATGGCCAATTAGCCCACCCGACAGATAACTGGCTGCTCCAAACACAAACGTAAACACTCTCCGCAACTGAATTACATCCGCAAGCTGCAGTCCTGGAAACAACCATTTAACCACACTTCCAGCAACGCCTCCTCCTGCCTGCCGTGCTAAATAGTCCCTCCCAGTGCAGCCCATTAATTGGGGCGGTGCCTTTTCCCCATCAATCTGGCAGATCTCCACCTCTGCCCTGCGCACTCTAGTATCCACCAAGGCCGACAGCTCCCCCGCCTCTTCCTCGTTGGCTTGC